AAGTATCACAACACATTTTTATTACATATATTCATTTACAACCTTGACGGCGGTTGTTGACAACCTAAGGAGAAGTGGTTAACAACCTTAATAGTGCCCCTGACAACTCACTCTATCGGATACCACAGTTTCTAAAAAAATTGTATTATCAACACACACAACAACCTTAACAATATAATGTGAGTCATTTTGAAGTCATTAACAGCTGTAACTCAACCCAATAGAATTATAGCAGATTTTTATTGCAGAAATTCATTTACAACCTTAATCGCGACTATTGACAACCTAAGGAGAAGTGGTCAACAACCTCAGCAGTGCCCTTGACAACTCACGCTGTGGGATATTACAGCCCCAACATAGCATCAAATTATAACCAAATGATATCATGTTACAACTTTATTGTTAAGAAATCATTGAACATTGCAAGTAGGAGAAATTGTCACTTTATATTAGTAACATAATTCAGACTCCTAATGATAAACTCCACAGTGTCTGATAACAAGTCCATTACAGCCTATTGACAAGTACATCAAAATACAGATATGATATTATATCAGATTACAACTAAATGTCATTTACCACTTGATATATATGTACAATATAACTACACCAAATTTACAACCCATTCAAAAAAGCACACAGGTTGCAATAGACAACTTGAGGTGTGGATTATGATATTTACAAAACAATTATGTCACAAGCATTCACAAAAAGAAATATAAACAAGCCACCAACAAAGCTCAACTTGGATTGGAGTTTTGGCAAGTCTTTACAGTGTGGCCTAGCTTATGACATCTTCCACAGTGGTAAAGTTTTTTATTTTGAAATTGAGATTCAATCCTTCTTTTCTTTGGCCTCCTTGAGGGCTTTTTAGTGATTGGTGTATCTTTCTTTATCATTCCTGTTCTCATACAACCTCCAACATATTGCATTTCACCTTTTACACTATTAATAAATTGTCCCCCTATATAGAGGTAACAGAACAAATGCTTTCCACTTGAAGTTGCCATCTTTCATATCAACCTGTCAGAATAACTTGTTAATAACAAGTCATACAGTTATATTAACAACCTTCGATGTACCCATTAACAAGACATTTAACAATCGCATCACAAGACTTATAACAATAAAAACCTCTCATTTTTACCTGCAACACAGCGTCAATTACCGGAAAAACAGAGCATTAATCACCGAAAAACAGAGCATCACCTTATAATCCTAACCACACATAACAAAATCACACCTAAGATGATTAAGACCACATATGATTAAAATGAGCTTCCCTTGATAGTTCAAGTGAGTTCATTTCATCCTTAATACCCACACACCTATAGTAAATCAACTTTTCAAACCAATATTGCATTTTCAATGGTTGTGGATGAAGAAGATAATGTTCTTAATGATGACACCTACAAAGAAGATGGAAAAAAAATAGCTTGCCTGAAATAATGGACACAATGGCATCTGTTACAAACCTCCGTTCCTTCTTTTTTAAACTTTTTCTTCTCATGCATACAGAGCACCCAACACACCAGGAGAAGGCATTCCCCTCTTCTTTTTTTCAATCAATGAGGGCATAACAGAATTTTTACTATTGCAATTTATTACACACAGGTCCCTGGGGACTTAAGAAGAATTTGGAGATTTCCAGGGACTTTATCTGAATTAATTCTCCTTTGTGAGACCTGTGTGTAATTTTCCCAAAATTTAAAGCATGAATTTATGTGTGTGTGAGAGAGAGAGAGAGAGAGAGAGAGAGAGCTCAAGCCTGTATGTATGCAGGCCTTTTTTGGGTTCAAACATGAGCCTTGAAAATGCCTGACAATGCTCGAAAGACTTTTTAAAAGTTTATTTAAAATGTAAATTTTTAAATAGGCTTAAAGCTTATGTCTTTAATTTCATATATAACCTTTTAAACTTATTTAAAAACATCTGTTATATTTTAAATATATTTTAAAGTGACAAAAATATTGCATTTGATTAGTTTTAAATAGATTTAATTTAAATTTACAACAAAATAGCAAAATTTCATTCATTATAATATGTTATAAGAATTCAATACAATTAAAACTTTATGGTAATATGCATAGGATAATTTGTTTATAATAGTAACATCAGAAACAATCCTAATGCTCTGTTTAGATGGGAAGAAAAGTTAGGAGAAAAGAAAATTAGAGAGAAAATGTTATCACCTCTTACGTTTAGATGGAAGAGAGAAAATAGAGAGAAAAGAAAATAAGCAAAAATATGAATAACCAAAATATCCTTATATATAAGAATATATCGTATTTAAAATCAAAGTCAATATTAGAATAGCAAAATGATATTAATGTTAGCATGATCAAACAATTTATAATCAAATAATTTGATAAACATATAATTTCATAATTTTGTGTTTTAAACCAAATAATTTTAGAGAAAAATATTATTTTGGGTTAAGGTGCGGATTTAACAACCATGTTTTACAAAAAGGACAACTGGCACCATTTACTTTTGAAGGGTGCTAAAGTAGACACAAACATTAAAAAAGAGCGCTTTTTAACCACAGCCGTTGAAAGGCCTAACGTTGACGATTACAAGGATGGGCGTGAGAAAAATTTGACCTAAAATGATGAAGTGGCAGGGAGTAAATAGTGACGTGGCAAAAAGAAAATGGTGATGTGGCTAAGACCTAAAAATTGGATTAAGTGTGAGGCGCGAAATCAAACATTAAGAGTAGGAGGCAAAGCGTCGATGGGGTAAGGAGAGAACGAGAAAGCTGAGAATTAAGATTCTTGTAGGGTTCTGAATTGGGAAACTGAAAACGTGAGAAATCGAGATAGAGGGTTAGCAAGTGTGGTCCATCGAAGAGTATGTGATCGAAGATTCTTGAAGGATTACAGACGAGGGAACAGCAGATTCTTCACAGGTAAGCATCGATTTAGACAAAAAGTTATTGTATTTTTAAGTTGAATAGTGAAATGGTGTCGAAGCCCTTAATAATTTGGGGATTTACTTGTTGTAGTGCGAATGGCGACAAACAAGGGTGATAATGTTCTTGTCGAACCGGGCAATGTTGACGCAAATGGAGGAGACGACACAGAGGCCAAGAAGTACGAGACATTGGAAGAGAAGCATGCGAGGCTACTTAAAAAGGTGAGTCAAATGTTTGATTTGGCGAAACGAAGTGTGCAAAGGACGAAGGAAAAATTGAGTGAGGGGCATGGAAGCATAGGTGAGTGGGCAAGAAGAAGTAGGGAAAATGAGAGATGGGTCTGGGCTAATCAAGATGAGAGAGAGGTAGGGGGCAATGAAAATGACAAAGAGGAACAGGGCAATGAAAATGACAGATATCCAGAACAAGAGGTGATTGAGTGTGTAGATGTAGATGGTTTAGAAGAGATAGATGATGATGGAATTGAAGATTTACCTGAACATAGGGAGGAAGGGGGAGATAGTGAGGATGACATTGTTAGAGAAATTGACAAAGGGAAAAGAGTATTGGTTATGGATGAGGATGACGATAAAAGTGAGGAAGGGGGAGATAGTGAGGATGAAGAAGGTTCTGATAGCGAGGATTCGAATTATGTTGGAAATAGTGCCAGCTCTGACACTGAGGAGAGTTTGGTGGATGATTTTGAAGTATCTGAAAATAGTGAAGAGGAAGATGAGGATATGGGCCTTAATGAAGATTGTGAGCCTCCAGATGAAAGAGTTGGGCTTAGCGTGTTGGAGGGCTTGGGAGACCAGCCTTTCTTTATGTTAGGCATGACTTTCTTAGACCTAAATGAGCTTAGGAGCGCCATAGACAGCTATGCTATTTCGAAAGGGGTGAATATCAAAATTATTAGAAGTGAGAAAAGGTTATTAAAGGCAATAAGTGAAGAGGGCTGCCCATTCACCTTATATGCATCGAGAGATGGGAATAATGTGGGCTACAAGGTGAAGACATTGTGCAATGAGCACAGGTGTGGTAGGGTTTTCAAGAACCCTAGGGCAAGTGTGAAGTGGCTAGCCGAACACTTCAAGGAGAAAATACAGGAGAGACCTAATTACAGCATATGTGAAATGAAGAATGATGTTGAGCGTGAGTTAAAGGTCCACGTGAGCTTACATTAGTGCAAGAGGGCAAAGAGGAGAATAATACAACACATGGATGGGAGCTTCGTAGATGAATTCTCCAAGTTAGAAGCTTACTGCAATGAACTGAAAGTGTCAAATCTTGGGTCAGATATTAGTATGGAGATAAGTAACGAGGCTTTGGAACAAGGGAGAAGAGTTTTTAGAAGAATGTATTTGTGTTTTAATGCAGTAAAGGTATGATGTTTAGATTTCTGTCACATATGGTATAATCTGTTAATTTGTTGTTTTATATTTCAGTTTGTCCTGACGAGTCAAAATTGTTGGTTTAGGTTGGTTGGAAAGTTGGGTGTAGACCATTGATTGGAGTTGATGGAACATTTCTAAAAGGTAAAGCTAGAGGGATTCTGTTAACTGCTGTTGGTTTAGATGCTAACGACTCATTGTACCCATTAGCATTTGCTTTGGTTGATAAAGAGAATGGTGTGAATTGGAGTTGGTTCATTCAGTGGCTTAGGATATCACTTGATCTTCACAATGGTGACAAAGTAACTTTCATGTCAGACATGCAGAAGGTATGATTAGTTACCTTTGCTGATTTACATATGACTTATGTGGTTTTAATGAGAACATTTAATTGACTAGTTCTATACATGTAGGGATTACAACATGCTGTGACAGAGATACTTCCAGAGGCCGAGCATAGACTTTGTGCAAGGCATATTTATGCTAACTGGAGCAAAAGGTGGAGAGGGAACGAGATGAAGAAAAAAATTTTCTCTTGTGCTTGGAGTACGTTTGAAGAACAATTCAAAGACAATCTCAAAGCACTTGGAGCACTTAACAAAGAGGCAGCTGAAGCAATGGTGTCATACCCTATATCTGCTTGGGTAAGAGCTTCTTTCAGTAATAGATGCTTGTCTTAGGTTGTAGACAACAATATGAGTGAGAGTTTAAATGCTTGGATTGATGAATATCGATATCTACCTGTTATTAGAATGTTTAATGGGATAAGGGTTAAGATGATGGAAAAATGGGCTGAGAGTGAGCAAAATGTGAGGAATTGGAAAGGCAACTATAGTCCAAAATGTCTGGACTTATTTGAAGCAAATAGGTTGTTGTCCTCTACATATAGAGTTTTTTTCAATGGGGATGAGGGATTTGAGGTGATTGAGAGACAAGATAGGCACACAGTATGTCTCACTAGGAAAACGTGCACGTGCAGGGCATGGGATTTAACTGGAATCCCATGCCAACATGCTATTCGTGCTATGTATCACTATAAACTAGAGCCCCTCACCCATATCTCACGCTACTACCACAAGGACACCTACATTGCTAGTTATAGGACAAAGTTTGCACCTGTGAGGGGCAAACAATTCTGGGATATAGAACAGTTTATCCCTATGCTACCACCACCTGAGTGCACATTGCCTGGCCAACCAAGGAAAAAAAGAATCAGGACAGAAGAAGTAGCAAGAAGGATAAATATTGCCTCTAGGAAAGCTGCTCAAGCTACGTCAAGTAAAGTTGGCATGAGCAATGGTTCAGAAACACCACTTGTCGAAAGAGTATGCAAACGGGGACAAGTCAACAAATGTGGCTTTTGCAGGAAAGTTGGGCACAATAGAAGCACTTGCACAGAGGTAACTTGTGCCAATTTCTTTATATTCACTTATTACAATAACTATAAGCTAACTTTTCATTTCTTTCTAGGCACCTCCCTCAAATAAGCCTCGACCTGGTAGAAGGAGAAAAACAGCCAACCAAGGCACAACACAGCAACCATCCAATCCCACTTCACCTTCATAGCAACCACATAGTCCACCTACACAGCAACCATCTCCTCCACCTTCACAGCAACCACCCAATTCCACTTTACCCTCCCAACAGTCGACAAATCATCCTCCATCGACACAACAACCACCTAAACCTTCCAAACACATAGCAAGAAAGAGGGTTGTCTACAAGCCCAGAGTTGAGTGTGGAATGGGTATAAGAATTGATGAGGGAACTGGGAGAACCAACTACAATGTAAGTATTACTAGACACTATTCTCTTCCATTTTAATTCATGCAAAGTTACTGTCATTTAAGCAATGTCATTGACTTATGCAGCTTGGAATGCGTTCTGAGGTGGTCATTGAGGAGGGTATTGCACAGGGGTATATACAACACTACGTGGACCCTCAGAGTAAATTTCCAATCCCAAATGAGAAAGAACTTCGACTGTCACGAGCTTTAAAACGCACTGCACCAGAGGGTTCCAGGAGGATACCATTCACTAGGCAAGGGACCGCTGTTTCACAACCATCAACACTACCATTTACACCTCCTGGGTTGATGTGGAAGGGCCAACGAAGCATTTCAAGTGCCCACCTCCAACTGCAGAGCCAAATGATGAAGACAAGAAGCAAGACCAACTCTAAGAGCTCTGACATTTAGATTGCTTAGAAACATTTAAGACTATGTATTTGACTATTTTGTACTACGTATTTCGTTACTTGGATTATGGTTACCTTATTGCCTTTTACATGGGATTATCACTTCCTAGGTCTATATTTTGGTGAACCAATGCTTAGTCTTTCAGATGGATGCCTTCTTATTTTGCAAGTCCCATGTACTGTAACTCTTTTAGCAACATTAGTGGCATGTACAAATGTCCATTATAATTAATTAAGGTTATTATCTTATGTTACATCTTCAGTTCCTCATTATTAATTAGGTTACCTTTACATCTTATTTAATTCATATGTTCTTCTCTTCTATTATTTCAATTAACATTATTGCCATCAAAATTACCACCCTTGTTATATAATTGTTGGATCAGTAATTGCTTCACCACGTGAATAATTCTTGAGAGCAGACCAAAGATCAGTTCTCGAATATGTATTCAAGAAGACCAGTTCTCAAATACGTATTCGAGAAGACCATTTCTCTAATATATATTCAAGAATATATTCGAGTAGCTTATCGATAAGTTCATTTATCAAACAGCTTATCGATAAATATATTCTTATTTATTCTCGAATATATTCTTGAATATATATTAGAGAAATGGTCTTCTTGATTTAGCCCAATTATTCTATGTTATTTCATATCATTTTAAGGGTATTTATCATAGATTTTGGCTCCTTTTGATGATAATTGTGCTTAATTTAGATTAAGAGTCCTTGCTTTGAGTTAGTGTCTTTTTGAGGTTAGGATTGTCATAATTGGTTATTAATTGTATTCAGTTGATTTCTAGGACAATTGATGCTTCAAATTGTTGCTTTTTATTGTAGGACAATTGAGAATTGGAGCCAAGATCAAAGACCAAAGATGACACAACACAATATCAAAGTATAAGCACTAATAGAGTTCGTCGCGGCGAAGATTCTCTTCGCCGCGGCGCCAAATTGAAATCTCACCAGTAATCTCTCGGGCAGAGTTCGCTGCAGCCAACTTACAGCTTTGCCGCGGTGAAATCACAAGATTAGGCGGAGCTCCTCTCGGGCATGCTTCGCCGCGGTGAACTCTTCGTATCAGCAACGCCAGATCCGGATCAGAACACGAAAATGGAGCTTCTAATCATATGATCCGACCCAGATGGACCCCTAAAACCCTTAGAAACCCTATTTTCGACCATACACTCCATTCCATCTCCTACAACACCTCTATTCTCCCATCCTCTTGCCTCTATCTCCATCTTCTTCCCCATCCATTTCCTTCATCTTTCCTTCACTCCATCTCATTTCCTTCCACTCCCAGCTACCATGGCCGACGGATTCACTTCAGTTGGAGCTTTTCTTGAAGCTATGGAGGGCTAGGGTTTATCAACTCTTGAAGATGGTGGAGTAGCATGAGTTCCTAAGCTTCAAAGGGGAGTTTTAGTTTTAATCTTCAGTTTTTAGCTAGGCATTTATGATTTCCTAGGTCTAGGAATTGTAAACTCTTAGTTAGATACTTTGATTAATTCTGTAATCAGTGGTTACTGATTATCTTTTGTATATTGGATTGATTGATGTTGAACTTTGAGCTTAAATATATGTAGTTGCATGTATGCTTAATGTCTCTCTCATGATTCTCTCTTATCTTGCCTAGTTGTGTTTGGGTATTGAGTTGATTGTGTGTTTCATTAAGCCATTTGCATGATCATTCCAATTTACACATTAAGGAAGCTAAACAAAGTTTACATTAATGAGTTCATTAATGTAAGCTTTGGACTCATTGAGTTAATGAGGTTCTTATTAAGAAAACCTAATGGATTTGTGAAACTCCCAATATTTAAGTGAACTACGATTGCCATCAAAACCATTTTCAAGAGGTTTCCTATCAATCATTTCCATTACATCATTATTATCTTAAAACACCAAAAATATAGTATCTTAGGTTTGTTTTCATTGCATTCAGTTTTGGATCAATTCATTTAAATCTTAAAAACCCAAAACCCCATTTCATTGCATTGCATGGCATTTAGTCTAGCTTAGGTAATTAATAAAGGCTCCCAAAAGTGAAACGACCTGAGTTTGCACTATACTGCATAGCTTGGATTTATTTTTGATTGAGAACCCCAAGGCGAACGACAAGAAAGGCTCTCGTTACTTCTCGAATACGTATTTGAGAACTGGCCTTCTTGAATACATATTAGAGAACTGATCTTTGGTCTTCTCTCACACTTCACATGCGCCCCACCTCGCTTTGCTTTGCCCTAGCTCTCAATGTCGACGACAAAAGCGACCTTCGATGACAACATTGACCTTCGGCATCAACTTTTATTTTGTCGACACAACAGTGCCACGTCACCATCTCATTCACCAACGTGTCATCCATCTTCTCGACGTCCGTTTGCCTGAACGTTAACTCGGGCATAATTGCTACGATAAATTACTTCCGGGATATTTAAGAACAAACAAAAACTTCTGGGTGCTGAGTGCTCCTCGAGGAAAACTTTCGGGTTAATTAAGAACCTTAACCATAATTTTTTCATCAAATATACCACGAAGTGGTCTATAATTGTTACAAAACAGCTATCATAACCCATATCTCCTGACATACAAATATATTGCAATCAATTTCACACACTCCTACTTTGTCAAATACAAAACAACTACTGCAACCGATATCATTACAGACACTAACATTGCTCTTCTAAACTTATTTTCCCTCTTCCTCACTTCCACATCATTCAGCTCATGTCTGCGTTTAAGCTTCTTTAATTCACTGTGAATTACATTGAGCTCTTCACTTAGTCTCCGCTCATGCTCTCCTCTTTGGTTCTTGCTACTTTCATCATATAGTCTGTCAATATCATCTAATAGCTCCTTGATCACAGTGTTTGCCCTCTCACCGAAGTCCCCATCATGCCAAGAGAAATAGCCACATCCCCCATCCTGTCGTGTTCAATACCAACATTTCAACCAAGGAACCAGGGAAGAAAATAGCATTTTTCACAGCAAGAAAACCACTTCATACCTGGTCATAGTTTGGGCAGCCATAAAACCTCCTATCTGGGTTATTATCAGTCGACGTTGTCCATCGGGGAGCTACTAACCCATGATGGCAATACCTCATCGGCGGTTCATAGTTGTCCTCGCGACTAGGTTGCCTCAATAAAGCAACCCTTCTCCTGTATCTTGCCGTCGATGAGGACGATGATGATGCCATGAACTTCACTTTTAGACCTCACTTTGTGTACTCCCTGCGTCTTCGCCTTCTTCGATAGGTATAAATGTGGTTGCAGGGGAAGGCGTTCGGACTTTAATAGAGTCATTGAACTCTACCTGCGACGTCTGAAATGGTCCGAAGCTTAACACTTGCCAGGTGGAGAAAGATGTGGAACCCACTTACACAAAGTGGACGGACGTTTGGGCCTTCCAATGGCTGTGGTTAAAAAGCGCTCTTTTTAATGTTTATGTCTACTTTAGCACCCTTCAAAAGTAAATGGTGCCAGTTGTCCTTTTTGTAAAACATGGTTGTTAAATCTACACCTTAACCCTATAAAAATAAAAGGATTAAAGTAAAATATGATAGCCTCAAAAATTGATTTCATGAAAATGCCCGACACCGTGATTATGAAATATTATAAACAAAAGAGTGAACAAGTCATTTACGTCATAAGCATAATGCTAAAAGGCCTATGTTCCTTAACAAAAAATGACCAACAAGCCAATGCATGACCAAAATCACAACAAAAGTTATATGTTTCCTAAACAAGAGTCTAAAATATCACCATTTTGCAAAAGAACTATACTTATTAAACCAACAAGAGGCCAAGACTTCATTGAACCTCAACATCGGTCATCATCCTAAGTAAGTTTGTAGTTGTATATAAGGTGGAATACCAAAAAAATTTAGCTTGTGTCTTTCTTCATTACACAAAAAGAAGTAACATTTTAATTTATACTCTTCAGGTATTTCAATTTCCTCAATTGCATTCCACACTTACCCTTCATTATAATGATAAGGCCTACTCTTTTCAAGTATTGAAATATCTTTTTCAGCAATTTGAACATGTTTCTTAGCAATTTGAGCATACTTCTCGGTAACAATATTGCCATTTCATATAACATCAACTAGTTCCTTTATTTGTATTGTCATTTTCTCACACCTTTCTTTAATAGAAGAATCCATTAAAGCCTTACAATTTTGTCCTCTAGTTGATATAATTCCTATCGACGCCCTACATGATGAGCAATAGTCCAAATTAACTTGTAAGTTTGATTAATCATTTGAAACATTACATTCAATTTCAACATTAGTTACACCAATAGAGTCATTTAATTGATTGATCTTGTGATCCCATTATGTGACCCTTTCCTTGGGACATTTAGA